GAGTTGTCCAATTTCGTATGAGAGCAGTCTAGACGACGTACGGCACCTGTAATGTTTGATATGGTACGTATACAAATGTCAGATCCTACTCGTACGGTTGCCGTTTGGGAAATGCACAACTTGCACACTACAACAGCATAGATGCCACAACGGATACAAACATCTTTTCTGCGAAGCATGACCAGTTAACCTGGGACTGCAATGGCCTCCGAATTAAAATTGAACAGATTTGGTGTGAGGCGTGTATCAATGTCGCTTGATGTCCGTTCTTTTGTTGTCAGTTCAATTTTGCGCTATGATGTGGAACCTTCACGCTCCCCATTTGACCAACCATACCTGGCTGGCTGACTGACTGACGCGCGCGCCGGCGCGGAGCCGTCCCGAAACGGGGCGCGCGGCGGAACCTCGGCTCCATCGAAACTCGCTATATTCTGCACTGCAAGATCAAACGTAACATCAGCCCGTCGCAACATGGGTCGCTTTGCTCGCCCCGTCCTTCCAGCGTGCCCCCATGCCAATGCACGGCGTGCCCAGCTGTTTTTCTCATGTAGTCTTTGTCTGAACCACTCTGATGCTGCGTCCACATCATTCCTTGAACCCGCATGCAGCTCTGGGAAGCCAGTCCGCCCAAACCTGTAGATCGGGATGTTCTCCAATTGAAGAATTGGAACCCGACATTATTGATGATTGGCATCGCGACGCGCCCTCCGCGATCAACTGTCGACGACGACCACCAAAAAACATACTGAACATTTGTTCGCTGTGCTCGGCGCGCTCTGTCAGTCAGCCTTTGAGTCAATCCCAAGCAGCACTTCCAGATAAAAACACATTGGGCACGGTGGCGCCGAAGAGCCGCAGGCACGCATTTAGTAAACATTTTGTGATGGTTAGTTCCCTTGCTTATGCCATGAAGCTCCGCCATTCCATGGTGATCCGACTTTTATCATCCACGCCGCGCGGCCGATCACACCTAACTTGCGGCCCCAGAATTCTTACCCAGCCCCCGTATGGGGCTACCTGAAGATTAGTTTCGCCAGCGTTCACGTCAGGCTATTTCGGGCGCCCTGCCCCCTTCACTCCATTGGATGAGGTATTTACTCTCCCTCGGTGGAGCAGCAATCACGTTTCTTGGCTAACTTTTTCCAGGTCGATGAGCATTTGCTTGCGATGTCGAAGAAACGCCCCTATGAACAACACCTCATCAACAAAACGTGAATAAACGGATGGTACCTTTTGAAAACCCACGCGGTGGCCACATCTTTTGTTTTCTGAAGCCGGCTTAAGTTACACAGACACGTCTTCAAGTCCAGCGCTGAACAATACACTGCATAGTGGGTCGCCGTATTTGGTGCCGCGCATGGTGTCAAACGTCTCGTCCAGCCGACCTGTGCGGACTCTTCCTGATTGCCCAGGATGTACCTTTTCCCAACACCAAAAATATAACCAGAAACACCCTGCCTCTCACGTGCCTCCCAAATTCCAATGTGTTGAATTGGATCAGAGGCCGTTTGGAAGCCTATTGCGGATATCCAGACGCACTGATGCTATTCATGGCTCTTCTCCTGTCTGTGCTGGTCTCATGAGAAACCCAAAACAAAGAGATGGGAGCGTGGTGCAATGTTTGACGAAGCTGAATAATTCCACGCGGGCATGAGATGTGTAGAAAGCTGTCAAACGAAATCTGTTTAGGTCGCACATGGGGACGTAATACTTTTCAACTAAGCTTTGTAAAAGTATAAACTAGACTTCGGTGCAGCAGTCGCGTGAAACCTGTCTATTCTCCACATGAGATGTGCCCGTGTGGCTTGCACGGGAGAAATGTCAAGTCTCCTCACGAAGAACGTGTACGCTATCCAAGCGGGATCTGCTTACTGCTCGCATGGGGAGTACAGATATATTGTATGAGGAAGGTCCACTTGCAAACCATCCTGTGGTAATGGGTCGTCGTGTTAAGTCGACAGCGACGCGCTGCACCTCATTTTCCTTCCTCCTCCCGCTCCTCCCTCATCCCGTTCCTGCCTTTGCTCTCCCCATTTTATGCAGGCACACCTCGCACACACTTCGTGGTCCAATAAGGGGTTCCGCAGAAGGCCGTCGTGGCAAAGTCCGCATGGTGGCACCGCCCCACTTCGGCGCATCCATCACAAGTTTCGTCGCCCTATCACGAGCTCCACCGAAGGCCTCGGTTGCAAAGTCCGCATGCCGGCGCCCCCACAAGACGGCGCACCCTTCGCACGCGTCATGGCCCCATGGGGAATTTCACCGAAGGCCCCAGTAACAAAATCCGAAAGGCAGCGCCGCTCCGTTTCGGCGCACCCCTCACGCGCATCGTGGCCCCATATGGGGGCTCTACCGACGGCCCCAGTAGCAAAGTCGCCTTGGCGGCACCGCCCCATTTCGGCGCCCCCCTCGGGCGCTTCGTGGCCTCATAGGGCGCTTCGACGAAGGCCCTAGCGGCACAGTCCGCACGCCGCCACCTTGCCATCTTGGCACACCCCTCACATGAGTCGTTCCCGTCCTTCGTATCACCGCAGCTGCATATGGTTGGGCCCTTTGCCGGGACAATTCTGGTACATAACATATTGGTTTCACATGAGCCGCGTAACGTTTCCAAATGAGAATTGCATGACTTCCACAAGAGAGAGTTGTATAGTCCACATACGAACTGTGCATCGATTGGTTACGGGCCTTGTATTTTTCCACATCAGATTCGCACGCACTCCGACAACAAATGTACGGGTTAAGTACAGGACAGTGTGACGTCTCCAGATGAGAGCCATATTGCTGTCACAGGGGGTTGTATAGGTATAGTTGCATATGAGAGTCAAGGGAACTGTGCGGCTTCCGTCTGGAAGCTGTATGCGCGAGAAGCGGCAAGACATCATGTAGATAGATCTAAGTGAGGTATCGGGCACACCCTCTGCTTCGCCTCCACCCTGTTCTCCTTTTTCTGCTCCTCTGAATCTTGCCTTCGGCTGTTTCTTTGACTCCTGCTTCCACTGCTGATACTGCTGCTGAGGATCTGGTCGATCGCTCCCCCCATCCGATATTCCTCACAGCCGTCTCCCCATCCTCACTCTCCCTCCGACGGCTGCAAGGGACTCCTTCCTACCTGCTCGCACCATCGATTCCGAGTCTCCTGCTCGCTTCCGCTGCCGTCCACCCCTCCGGAGGCGTGCGCACCGTGGCGTCGCCATCGATGCTCTCCCTCGGGCTCTCCGGGACGCCGTACTTCACCTTCGTGTGGCTCACGACGCGTACCTTCCCAAAAGACGCAACGCTGCCAACCATCCTGCGCGCCAGCGCGCTCGCACCACCCACCGGGCAAGTAAACGTGACCGCATAGCGAAAGCATTCTCCGACCGCCGAAGTCAGGTGCCAATTCCACGTAGCACCCAAGTATCTGTCACATGCAAGAACCAATCGGTTGACACGAGGTTGGTTTACTGTCGGGACGACTACATATCATCACTCATCGGTAGTTCCATGACTGCGATCACCCAGGCCAGGATCGATAATACTGGAAAAGAGTCCGGGGGGACGATGAGGTGCGTGCATTGAGCAAGCGATGGACCCATTGTGCAAACGAGTGGCACACTCACATATCCGCCCACAGTGTCAGGGAACCAAAGCTACCGAGAGATGAGTTCAAGAGAGAAAAGAAGGAAGGGGAATGATAAAGGGTGTGTGGGTGGCTGGGGTCAGGAGAACAAATAAATTGAAACATCGAATCAGCCGGTATTGGTCCAGGATGTCATAACGTGTGTCCGGGCACAGTAACAGAGGTGCGTATCGGAGATTGGGGGGTGAGACAAACATGAAACGTGAGGTGCACCAACCAGGAAATCGACTTCGGTTTGGTTCGTGTCGTGCGTGGCGTGCGAGGCGAAGCTGCGCGAGTCCGTCCCCTCGGCAAATCCAAATCGGCAAACACAAGCCTAGCCATTGGCCCGGCCGTGGGATGAAAAATGACCCCATGGTGGTCCCGTTGGTTGTCCCGATGGTTCTCGTAATGGTTCGGCGAGGTCATAAGAGCAGCAAGCGCACTCTGCGTGACGATAATACAAAACACGTGCGCGCTGCGGGGCAAACATCTACCAAGTGCGCCCGCGGGGCAAACATATAAACATGTAGCACGTGGGAAAAAACATGCAAAGAAAAGACACGTCGTGGTGCACATCGGTAGATTATATATCAGTTAGTCCTCGTCTATCGTTATCTCTCTCTCTCTCTCTGACCATCTCTCTCTCTCTCTCTGTCTTTCTCTCTCTCTCTCTATCTCTGCCTCTCTCGCTCTCTCCTTCTCTCCCTCTCTCTCTCTCACTTTCACTCTGTCTCTCTCTCTCTCTCTGTCTCTCTCTCTCTCTCATGATCTCTCTCTCTCTCTCTCTGTTTGTTCTCTCTCTATCTCTCTTTTCTGTTTGCGATGCCACGGGTGCGGGAACCCTGCTTTGTCATTGCGATGTGTCTGATTTCTGGGACGAGAAGCGGGGACACCATGTGTATTGATTTGTATGTTTTGGGCTTGGGGGATTTTCCTCCCTCCAGCGAACATCCAACCCAGGAGCTCCGATCCCCAGAATCCCGAACATCCAACCACATTCAAATGAACCCACACGGTCACCGAATTTCTCATCCCAGAAATCACAGTCAACCAAATGACAACACAAGGTTTGCGATGCCAGGGGTGCGGAACCCTGGTGGTTTCATTTGGATGTCTAGGGTTCTTGGGATGAAAAGTGAGGAAGCCATGTGTTTTAATCTGGAGTTTTCTGTTGTTTTGGATTCTGGGGGCTGGAGGTCCTCTGGGATGGCTCCTGAGCTGGATTTCCAGACATCCAAATGACAACACATGGTGTCCTCACTTCTCGCCCCAGAAATGGTTTCCGCACTCCTGGCATCGCAAAGCCTGTGTGTCCACAGGGGTCGTGTTGGGTGTCTGGAAAAAAAGGAAGGAAGAGAGAGAGAGAGATAAAACAAAAGAAAGAGAAAGATAACGAACGAAAGAGAGAGAGAGAGGGAGAGAGAGAGCGAGAGAGAGAGAGAGAGAACGTGTGAGACAGAGATAGACAGACAGAGACAGAGAGAAAGATAACCACATAGAGAGAGAGAGAGAGACAGAGAGAGAGAGGCGTATTCCAGATCCAGCTGGTTAAACGTATATTCCGACTGTCATGCAATAGAAACCTCAGTGGGGTGGAGTAGAACTCAGATTTAGCTAGTTCGGATTCGATTCGTATTGGGACCGGGCAAGCCCGAATGAGAATTGGGTAGATCCCAGACACAGCTGATTCTGAATGGAGTCCCATGGGAATCTGCTCAGAATCGCATTGAAATGGTTCAGATCCCAGGTCCATCATGCTGAATCCAAATATATTCCGATGGACATAACAATTGCACAGGACCCGGACCCAGCGGAAACAACATTTATTCCTAGTGGGATCAAATTCGAATCTATTTGGGATGAACCAGGTCCCTGATCCAGATGCTTCAAATTAGCTGCAGATTGGAATCTAATTAAATCTAATTGAAATTGAGCAGATACCCATCTGATTCTTAGTTGGGCTGTATGGGGGTTCAAGTAGGACTGAATTGAACGTGTGCACATCCCAGATCCAACTGAATCCAAGTGGGACCCCGATTGGAATGGAATTAGAATCTAGTTGGAAGTGAACAGACCACACGTCCAGCTGATTCCACATAAATTACGGTTGGCATGGAATAATAATCTAACTGGAATTGAGCAGATCCCAGGCCCAGCTGCGTCCACATTGCTTCCACATTGCTTCCTATTCAAATCTAAGTGGAATCGGCCAGCGCCCAGAAACAGCTGTTTCCAATTGGATCCTCATTGGGATCGAAATAACATCGAATTCGCATTGGACAGAACACAGACCCAGCTGATTCCAATTTGATACCTAGTAGGATATATGCTCAATGTCGATGGAACTGCCAGATCGCAGATCCAGCTGACTCCAATTGGATTCCTAGTGGAATACACTCAAAATCTGATTGGAATTGGGTGGATCCCACATCCAGCTGTGTCCAATTGGATTCCTACTAAAATCTCAGTAGAACTGAAGTAGAACTGAGTAGATCACACATCTGGCTGATTCCGATTAGATCCCAACACGAAAACAACAGAGAAATGACGAATGTGAGTGATGGATGAGCAGGCACGGATGAAAAAAGGCGGATGGTCAGTAAGAGTACGAATGCACAGCTCAACACCGATGCTAAAGGAATGGGTGCTGGTGGAGGGGGGGCTGCGCACATTCATGTATAGACACACATCAATATATTACACTTAGCTGTATAGATCGGCATACGCAGTTATCCATTCGTATCTAGATGGATGTATCGCCAAGTGCATGTAGAGGCCCAATGCACATCAAAGATGACGTTCACTTCGGCCTCCAACCTCCGTATCATCCGAAGGGTGGTGCATGATATATCCTCATAGTCGTGCTTCTGCTCCTCCTCATCCGGATCCTGACTCTGATCCTCCTTCCCATCGGCGTCCTCCCCCTACCCGCAGTTCATTGTCCTCGTCCTCCTGGTACTCCTATGAAGCCCCATCCAGACCCAAGAACTGCCAGAAGCTCCGATATTGAGCAGCGAGACAGATGGAAGAAACCGGGAAACTCAAAACTTACCCGCTGCCCACGGGCGTCGGCCGGGGTGGACAAAGACTGCACCCCTGTGGAAAGCAGAAACAAGCAAACCGCGGAGAGGAAAAGGAAAGGGAAGAGAAGAGAAGGACGCGGAGCGCGCACTCCGAAAGATTATGCTAATGCTGCGCTTTCTCATCCGAGCCGAGTGAAATAGACTCGGCTTGGGGGAGACAAGGGGTTACGTAATACTCAAGCTTGGAGGACTGGAAATTACCGGAGTGGCCGTCAGAAAAACTACGAGACCTGGTCTGGCACTTTTGACGCGACATCTTGGCATGATGGAGACGGATTCAAAGTTCTATTCCGACAAGTTGACTTGCACGGAGGGGGAGAGATGGGCGTGGCGAGGCCTAAAAGGAAGTCCGATCTTCACGCAAGTAGGCACTCGCTTGCATACCTTTTCGGCCCAGCCTGCTTGAAATGGCGGCGGACACGGTGAAGGGGGGTGGGGAAATTCCATGCACGTGAACTTACTAGAAGATGGAACAACACGCTCTTTGCATCATGGCAAACATCTCACGAAAACTGGGCAATCACTACAGAAGACACGTCGGCACCGCCCAACACCGCCGTCAGGCTCTGTCTGGCCCAGAGGACGACCGCCTCCACAAAAATGCGACGTCTTGATTTTTACAATACGCGGCCCCCAAAAATCCCGACCCTTTTCCCAAGGCCGGCATTCCATCTTAGGCCGTGTCCGACCGTCATGGGGCACGTCGAGGGCCCCTAGAAGCTGAAAGCTAAGAGAAACCTCTGTCATGTGTTCTGCAATACGTTGGAGGTCTGGGCCCATGGAGGTCCATCTACCCTGGCGCCGCCTCCGGCTTGTCATCCAGAATCTTTTCTTGACGGTCCCGGGGCCTGGCGAGATCTCCCCGAGGCCTAAAACGGCAAACAACGTCCCGTCCTGATCTTCTTACGACGCAAGCATATATCTGGGTGCGCTTCCCCGATAGACAGACGCCTCTGCGCACGTCGCTTTGACTGCATACTCGGGCTCGCGAAGTCCGGCCGGCCGCTCAGCAACTCCCCCAAACCTCAGAGGAGGGCGGAGAAAAGGGAGTCGGCCCCACGTGGCTCCCAAACCTGGGCCAGCCAGAGGGGATCGACTGACCCCCGTTAGCGCCGAACCTCGTTCCCTGAAATCCGATGCCTCGACAGAATCGACACATCGCAAAAAACCTCGACTGGAGCCCTAGACCCCATCTTTCCGAGTAACTTTTCGGACCAGATCGACCTGTACGGATCCTTGGGCCCGAATCTGAGCAAAAACGCCCTGCTCGGAAAAATCGGCCAGAGGCGCACACAAGGGGGTAGAGGGAGGGGGAAGGCTGCTTAGGCCTTCTTAGAAGCCTTCCCCCCCCCCGCCCCCCTCTGCGCGTGGCCGAGTGGAGACGCCAGGATCTCGGGAGCACGTGAGCCCTGGCATGCGAGCGCGCCGACGACTCCGGCGGCGCGGGAGGGGCCGGGCGTGCCTTCGACGCTGCCCGGGCGCCGCCCCGAGCATTCTTCGAGGCCTGGGGCGGGGGGGTGGGGGCTCTCCCGGGGGGCGACAGCAGCCACGCAGCCCCTGGAGGTTGTGGCCCAAACGGTGACAAGCTATTAGGCCCGATTGCCGGGGCATCGAGCCGGATTAGGATGAAACCAGACTGAGTGGGATTTCGCTGGATTGAGCGGAGCGGGACTGCGCCAGCTTAAACAGTTTGCCGTCAGGGATGTGCCAGCGCCGATTCTGAATGGAACTTCCGAGGAGTTGCATCCTAATGCCCAAGTCCCCCTCCTTCCTAAACCTGCTGGCGTCGTGAGATAAGATACGGTGCAATTGTTTGAGGTTTTCAGCCTCTGGGGACCCTTGCTGCGCCTTGGGGCCGTCAAACAGTGAGTCGAATTGAAAAGCCGGCAAGACGTGTCGGGACTTCCAGGGACCCCGTATCGAAACAAATAAAACTTCGCGCCGTCCTCCTCAGATCAAGACAGGAGAAGATAGATCTGTATAGCCATTGACCTCCTCCAGAGCGAGAGATCCCTGACATTCCCACGGACGCTTCAGAAGAAGAGGAATCCGCATGACCATTTACGCTCGGAGGTCGGGGCGGATTTCTGGGATCGGCCCTGGGCCCCCCCGGCGGCGCCTACGGCGCCGCCCTTGCGCACAAGGAGTGCAGCGTCAGTCCAGGAATTCCGCGCAGACCTCCGATTGTTGTTTCTCTCCCGCCGACGGTTTGTGGGCTTGTCGTATTATACGACTCGCGTACATGTTCTAATGGTGTTACGCGGGCGAGACGTGGTTTGTTGCCCCAGGCGCCCCCTTGTTTGCGTAGGCGGCCCGCTTGTTTTCGGGAGGGGGAACGCGCAGGCAGCCCTCAAAGGCAGTCCCAGCTGGCCTGAACAGGCCCTCCGGGTAGTTCATGGCTCAGACATGCGATGCCTGCTTTTTTTCCAATGCGGCGTCCCCGAAGTCCCGACCCTTTCCCAAGGGAGGGCGTTTCAAGGCGACTTGCTGTTGACGGTCCCAGAGCCATGCGAGGGCCCCCGGAGGCAGAAAACGACAAAAAAACGTCCGCCATAATTACTCAACGACGCCAGCATGTCTCTACATGGGACCACCCTGGCGCCGCTTCCAGCGACGCCCCCAGGGCGTTCCGCGCTCCTGTGCTGGGGGGTGGAGGCCGCCCCAGGCGGGGCTCGCTGAGGCCAGCTGGGGCCGCCTGCCTCTGAAGGCCGCCCGTGCGCAATGCCAAGCCCTCCTCCCAGGCCCCCACGCTGACGAAGGCGGCCCTGCAGGAGCCAGTCTGTCCCCTCCCCCATCCCTTCCTCTGCCGTCTCGCTCTCACCTTGTTCCAGCCCTTGTTTGTTCATCGCTTGTTCATCTGGCCCCAGGACCACAGTGGCGATAACGTGACAAATGGTGCCACCAGCGTAATCAAAACATGTAAAGAGAGTCAGCAAGCAGTCCTGCCGCCCGACCGCTCTCGCCCGTCCATCCCAAATGGAACCAAGACGCTGGCGAGGAGGCAGAGCGGGCGGGGAGGGGGGAGGAGCGCTGGACCCTGCCCCACCTTTTCCTCCTCCTTCTCCTCTCCTCCCCCTCTCCTCCGACTGCTTCTCGCCACTCTCCGTCTGCGATGCGTGCCTCGAGTCGCGTACTGTCGGCAGCTCACGAGGAGAGGCTGGGCAGAGTGTCTCGTGCCTGGGGCTGCCCACAGTTAGAGGGGGCGGCCCCCGTCCTCTTTTCCCCCCCCGCCTCCCCCTCCTCCTTCTCTCATCCTTGCTCCACCTCCTCCTCTTCCTCCTCCGTCGTCGCTCGACGTTCGGCCCCACCCTCCATGTTCCGCGACGGGAATGCAGCCTGTCGATTTCTGGGGCTGGAGGCCAGATGGGCAAATGGGCGGTAGATACGTACCGGTTTCCAGCTCAGCGCCACGTTACCGGGGCGACAGCTGGGCTCATCCATGCCGAGACCACACGACTCGCACCCGACTGCCGGCGTCGGCGCTGCACATGTTCGTCGGCAGTTGCGCCCGAAGACGCGCGCTCCAAAGCCAGCATCAGGGGGGGGGACACAAAACCCTTTAGCAACACGCCCTTTAGTCAAAGCTATCATGTGCACACGGCACCGAATGCCGAATGAACCCCAGCGGGGTAGCTAATCGACGTCCAAAAATATCCGAATGTATACTACGAAACGCGCGCCGATGATCGAAAGCGACTGCGGAATGCACTGGTGCAATCGACTGCCAATGTCGAATGAACCCGTGCAGATTTCCTCTGTCGACTTGTCTGGGGGGCTCTCTGACAGTACCCAGCAAGACTGCGCGCCCGAAGACGTAAGCGCCCCCGTGCCAGGGCTGCCTGCGCTGGCACCCGGGCGTCGGCGCTGGCGCGCGCATCGCGCAAGCGGTGCGGTAGACCGCCGGCGCAAACTATCGGGCGACTCGCAGTGGGGGGATCAGCAACGGACTGGTCCCGACCCCTGCGGGGGGCGGGGCGGCGTCGGCAGCGCAAGGAGGCACGCGAGATCGCGATACGATCAGCCGCGCCAGCCCCAGGCGCGTGGGACGCAGAAAAGCAGACTGGCACTCGAACACTCGAAGGTCGATCTGGCTCGACATGCTCAGCAGAAAGGTGGGGTTATAGGGCTCCTGTCATGCCAATTTCCGATCTCAGGGTCTGCCCACCCTGCTCGTTCACCTGTTCCTCCTTCCCTCCCATTCTCGTCTCCTCGCCTGGAGGTTGCAAGAGGGCGTTTGGGGACCACGCCGCATCGCCGATGCATCGGCGATGCGTCGGCAACGTGGGGAGGGAGCGCGTCCGGCTCCAGGTCGCGCCGCATCGTGGCGGCAAGGTGGCTGCCACGGGCGGCCACGGGCGGCAACGTGGCGAAACCTCGCCGGATCCGCCCAAACTGCGAGGCGGCCACGAAGCGGCCACGGGCGGAGAGGTGACCACAACGCAGCCACGGGCGACAACCAGCGCACGAGGCGGCCACGAGGCAGACACGGGCGGCACCGTGGAAATTTCTAGACAAACCCAGCCAATTCCTGGATATGTTTGCAAGCGTGGACCCCAAATCAGTAACCTACTGTACCACGGCAAATACAGGGCGCGACGCGAGTGGCGCTGTGCGTTGCACCATCGATTGCGCCCGGAACGTCGCGGAACCTCGCCGGATCCGAATTCGTGGCAAACATTGCACCTCAAGGGCACCAAGCCAAGCGGCAACGGGTGGCAACGGGTGGCAACGGGCTGGAACGTGGCGAATCCACGACGCATCCACACAAACAGTAACGAGCGGCGACGGCCGGCAACGAGCCGGAACGTGGCGAATCCTCGACGCACCCACCCAAGCGGCAACGGGCGGAAACGGCCGGCGACGGGCCGCAGCTGGCCAGAACATGGCGACTCCTCGACGCACTCGCTCAAGCGGCAACTGGCGGCAACGGGCGGGAACGTGGCGAGTCCTCGACGAACACACACAAGCAGCAACGGGCGGCGACGGGCGGCAACGGGCCGGAGGATGGCGAATCCTCGACGCATCCACACAAGAGCGTACTTTCCCCAACCATCCTGTGGTGTTAGGTCTTCGTTTTGAAGAGACAGCGCCCCGCGTCCCTCCTCCTTCCTTCCTTCCTCCTCCTCCTCCCCGTCCTCCCTCCTCCCTAGCGCCTAGTAAAGCGTTTCGTGGCCCCACAGGGGGCTCCACCTAAGGTCCCAGTGGCGCAGCCCGCATGCGTCTCCCACACTCAGCACAGCGCTTCGTGGCCCCACAGGGAGCTCTACCTAAGGTCCCAGTGGCGCAGCCCACATGCGTCTCCCACACCCAGCACAGCGTGTCGTGGCCCCACAGGGAGCTCCACCGAAGGCCACGGTGGCGCAGTCCGCATGCGTCCCCACACCCAGTACAGCGTTTCGTGGCCCCGTAGGGGGCTCCACCGAAGGTCCCAGTGGCGCAGCCCGCATGCGTCTCCCCCACCCAATACAGCGCTTCGTGGCATCATAGGGAGCTCCACCGAAGGTCCCAAGGGCGCAGCCCGCATGCGCCCAACCCAGCCAGTACAGCGTTCCGTGGCCCCAGAGGGAGCTCCACCGACGGTCCCAGGGGCGCAACCCGCATGCGTTTCCCCCACAGAGTGCAGTGTTTCGTGGCCCCATCGGCAGCTCCACTGAAGGTCCCACTGTCGCAGCCCGCATGCGTCTCCCCTGCCCGTCACAGCGTTTCGTGGCCCTATAAGGGGGGCTCCACCGAAGACGATACCTACAACTGCGGTATTCACAACTGCATACATGGTCGGGTCCTTTGCCCGGCTATTTTTTAAATTCAGGTTCTGGCAAGTTTATTTGAATGGCATTCCCTCTACTCTCCGCCCGCGGCCATTTCACATAGCGCTGGTCCGAAAAGGCGTGCAAGTGAGTCCCGACGTGCGTGAAACCCAATTTTTCTTTTCGAGCCTCGCCCATCCCCCCCCCCATGCAAGCAAACTTGCAATAATCAACAAACGAAAACTGCCTCAAAGCGGCAACGGACAACAACGGGCTGGAATGTGGCGAATCTCCGGCGCACCCGGCAACGGGCGGCAACGGGCGGCAACGTTGCGAATCTTCGGCGTACCCACACTAGTAGTAACGGGCGACAATGGCCGGCAACGGGCGGCGACGTGGCGAATTGTCGACGTACAAACGCGCGCGTCATAGGGCGGTAATGGGCGAGAACGTGGCGAATGTTCGCCGTCCCCACGCAAGGGGCAACGGGCGGCGACGGGCGGCAACGAGCCAGAACGTGGCGAGTCATCGACGCACCCATCCAATTCCTCAGTGAGCCAAGGAAGAGTCCCTGAGTGCAAGCGCTGTTTAGGGAAAGAACTAAGCTGCTGCGTGGTGAAATCCATGCCATGCAAGCTGCGTGGTGCAGTTTACGTGGTGCAAGCTACGTGGTCTAAGGGGCGTGGTGCAAGCTGCAAGGTGCAAGGTGTATATTGCATGCTATGTAGTACGAGTTCCTGTGCACGCTATGCGGTGGTTGCTGGGCGGCGCAAGATATGCGATGCAATCTACGTTGGGCGGCCACGGGCGGCCACCCAACAAATCCTCTGGTTACCCGCCGAATTCCTTTCTGTAAAACGAATGAGAGTCCTGAAGTGCAAAAACTTGTTACCAAGGGTTACACAAATTAAACTAGAACTACCTAAGGTAAGCCACTAAACCTACTTAAGTTGCGGTTAGTAGTTAGTCCGCAAACCACCTACTAACTAAATCCACCGACCCTGTCGGCGTGTGTGGGGGGTGTCTGTCCGGCCCCGTCGACGGGGAGCCTTCTTTCGTCTCCTCCTTCCCATCCTCCTCTCCCGTCGGGGGAGAGAGAGAGAGAGAGAGAACGCGCGCTCTTCTTCGCTCGGGGAACGGGTCCGCAGCTTGTGGGAATTCCATCCACGTCCTCATTACGTCGAAGGGAAGCCCCTTCTCTTTGTCCCTTCCCTGGCGGCGGGGGGGGTCATATTCGCATCGCCTCTGGGGATCCTCCTCTCCCACGCCGGTCCTTGGTCCTTCTCCGGCGCGCCGGTCCTCATGGCGTCCTCCTCCCCAGGTGGGGAGGAGTCCCAGGGGGGGAGTGGAGTCAGATACGCATCCGTCCCTGGGGGTCCTCCTCCCCCTCCCCTCCCCTCTCCCACGCCGGTCCTCCTCCGGTCCTCCTCCCCAGGGGGGGGGTCCCAGGGGCGAGTCCTTTTCCTCCTCCTTCTCCTCCTCCTCCTCCTCCTCCTTATCTCCGCCTCCTCCTCCTCCTCCTCCTCCTCCTCCTCCTCCTCGTTCTCCTTCTCCTCCCCCTCCTGGTCGTCGTCGATGTCTTTCAGGGTCGGCGGCACCGGCCGTCATGCCTTCACAGTATCTGACCACTTTCTAACCACCTGCTAAATGGTTGGCTAAGGCCGCTACCTGTTGTACGGGTTAGCAGCTTGAGCTATCCATTTACGCTTGGTTGGTGGACGCCTCCAAACTTACTCGTGTGCGTGTGTGCTGTTTCCACTTAGGACATAGAACCGACCTACAACACATCGCGTATCCTCGGAAATCCGTGAATCATCTTGCGAAACGCGTACCTATAGACGTGGCGGGCTTCTAGGCTGGAGGCCGAAAACGGCCAACAACCTCGCGCTGTGACGTGTTTCTTTGACGACGCGAGCATGTCTGGGTTTGCTCCACGGCGACTGGTGCCTGGGCAAGGAAGCACACGCAAGCGAAACGCCGCGCCAGCGGGGGCCGGGCACGTGGCGGCGCAGAAAGGGCGCCTCGAGCCCGCTGCCGCTGTTCGGCGGACCCGTCAAGTAGGGCCGCGGGCTCGCGGTGGGCGTCTGGCGGGGCGATCCGGGGGCCTCTGCCGCGGGGGCGCGCGCGGTGGGGAAGCGGGGCGCCCAGCGGACGGGGGCGCAGGGCGCGGAGGGTCCGCGGCGGAGAGCGGCGACCGTGGAGCCCCCGTCGTGCCACACCGCGCGGCGGGCCCGTTCCAGGGAGGGGGTTTGCGGGGGCGGCCGGCGCGCACACGGGGCCGCTGGGCCCAGCCCTGGAGAGAAGAAAGGGCGGGGGGGCGGGTGAGGCCGCGCAGCGGCGCCTGCCGTTGCGGCGGGCCGCAGAGGAGCGGGGGTGGGGCAGTCTGCCCTGAAGATCCAAGATGACGCCACCACCTCCCTCCTCCCCCCTTCCTCCTTCATCCTTCATCCTTCATTCATCGTCCTTCTCCCTCCTCCTCTCTCCTCCTCCCTCCTCCTCCCTCCACCTCCTTCACGACGGCGGCACCCGCGGACAGCGCTGGCAGGCATGGTGCCGAAACGAAGGGCGGGGGTGAGATCTCGGAGGCCTTCGAGGCTGGCGCTCGAGCATGGGCCGTTCCACCGAAATCCCACCCCCAATTCGGGTAGGGGGTCGACTGCAGAATTGGCTTACCCCAAACTTGATCTTCTCGTCGAATGTGCGAACAAAAAATAAAGTGCTCGACGATCATTCCACGTAATTGTCGTAGATCCGACGAAAACAATTTTTTGCGGCAAATCCATTATGTAGTCGATCCCCTAATCGACCGATCGGAGCACCCATTCGGCAAGACTGCCCCACCCCCGTTGTGGCCAGGGGTGGGGGTGTCACTCTGGGTTGCAACCATACCTTGGGTGTTTAGAAGAAGAAAATAGCCATCAACAGAAACTTGTGGCGCTTCGCGCGGGTTTTTTGGATCCGCGCGGGACCCCCCTCCCTGGCGCGCTCCGCGCGCCAGGGGCGGCGCCGGAAACGCCGCTACGGGTGCCCCAGCGCGGATCCAAGAAATCCGCGCGGAGCGCTAAAAGTTTATCTTCATGTTTTTTGCTATTTCGAGTGTTGATAGAATTTGTCCTGGCCCGAGGTGTCCCAGCTTATGGCGCCATTGTTGGGCCTCTCGGGCCCTCCTGCGCCTCGAGAGAGTTGCTCTGGGAGCCGTCTGCGCCTCCCTGGAGAGGCTGGGGTCACATTGTGCCAGGGCCGCTTCTAACAACACCCACAGTGATGTCGCCATCTTGTCGTCGGCAGAAAATGGCATAAGGCTGCGTAACCTTCACTCGAAGAACACCTGTATGCCTCATGTGATCCAGACTGGCCGCGTCACGGATTACGTCTTGCAATGCCTCTTTGGACCGGCGTGGGAAACCGTGTACATTATAGGAAATGCTGGCATGTGTTGGGATATGCGTAGGAAGATGCCCACTCGGGCAGTCGTCAGCGCAGCGCTATTGGGAGAAGCAGCAGCGCGCCCTGCGGAGATAGCCCGCGGGGCCTCCTCGCCGTTCTCCGCCTCTCGAAGGGGAGGGGGCGGGGCCCTTCTCGGCGCCGCGGGGGGCGGTCGAAGCAAGGCTCGGGGCGAGAAGGTCCTCCAAAGGAAGTACCCCGAGGACCGGGCCTCCTCCCCCGCCGCCCCAGTCCCCCTAGTTTGTCGGCGCTGGCGAACAGCCTCGATATCTCGATATCGCCCTCGTCGTGAATAACAATACCGATTATCTCGATAATCTCTCCTTTTCCTCCACTGCTCGCCAGCGCCGATGATCTGAAAAGATCAATTGCTGTAGCCCCTGGTGGGCTGTGAAATACAACGGCGGTCCCAAGTACACCGCTGCCAAAATCGGCAGGTCTGGTAGCACTTGCCAGGCCCGATGGCGCCCTCGAGCCACGGCGCAAACAGGAGGGGAGTTTGGCATCGAGAGGGCACAGGTCGGATGGGCTAGGAAACTGCGCATTACTAAACAAAGGGAAAATGTTCTAGCCAAAATCCGACCAGCCTTAACGGAAAGAGCGGGCATATATGATTATGCCTCAGCGCGCGCGAGCCAGCTGGGATATGCAAGCGACGGCCTCAACATAAATCAATCGCTTCGCCCTGAGGCTCGTCCGCGCCGCGCTGGTCATGCGACGCGCCGCCTTCAACCAGTCCGGGCCTCCGGGCCCGTCCCCTGGTATGTCGAGACGTCGTGATTATCGCACTCCCAGCGCTCGTACTTGCCTTCAGGGTCGATGTCGATCTCAGCCCCCGTGTCGGCCTCCACTCGCCTTGCCTTCGGCGGCGGTTGCATGCCGACATGCCTCCTCCTGGCAGTGTAGGCCGTCTCCTGCATCGTCATGTCGTGGTCTCCTCCATCCCATGCGCGCCGCGTAGACCATTCTGGATGCTTCATGGTCGTGTCAGCCATTTCTTGCACATCAGGTGGGGATCTGCCGCCGTCGACTCGGTCTTCCTGCCCTGGATCGGCCCATGGTTGCGGTTGTGAACGCTGCCTCGTTTGTCCGAGCACTTGCGCCCCAGCGTCGCGTCGAGTGGGGGGTCCGACGTCGCGACCAGCCACTCCTTCTTGATCGCCCCCTTCGTCTCTGGATCCCTCATCTAGCACGCGCATCAATCCACTCGCACTGCGAAGAGCTGCGCCCCGAGTGGTCGCAGGAAAGGTGGCGACCACGTGCCGCACTTCAGGGGCTGCTCGAAATCCACCTCTGCGGGTTGGTGTAGGGCCTGGTGAGCCAGTAGCACGCATGCCCTGGTCACCTTGTCGTTCTTGCGACGCTTGGCCCCCAGGCGTTCGAACTGCTCGGGCGCCCGCTGGCTGCAGTTCTGGATGATCGATATGGCCGCGCATGGTTGTGCGAACGTTACTCGTCTCGGCCTTTCCAGAGCCGGCGTCTCACTTGCGCGACAGCAGCCCGCGTGCGTCGTCAGGTCGCACTCGCTGCGGTTGCCGGGCCCCGTCGCTCTGCCGCCCAGCTTCTCGACCGCCCGACCCAACCCCGAATCTGGAGGCGCGCGTGCCTCCATGAAGTCGAGCCGTCCTTCTCGGAAAATCTGCGCGGCCTCGAAAGCCGCCTGGCGCTCGAACTCATTGATCCCGCCTATGAGCGCGTAGAGCTGCTTGCTGTTCAGCTCCCTCAGGCTGGTTTATCTCCGCCAGGCCAGCCTGTCGGTTGCCCGCAGGTTCTTGCTGCGCATCGCCTTGTCGCTCTTGTCCAGCAGCTGGGTCCCAATCGTCCTCGTGCCCCGCAGGATTCCAGCTGCCGTGTCCGTCTCGATCTTGAGCCTGTCGAGGTGTTCCTGCGGGGCCTCCATCGCTGCGTCCCAGCTCGGAAAGTCCAGGTTGCGTTCCATCGCCGTCTGCAGGACTGTGGTCTCGCGTGTCATCTCCACCTCGTAGTCCTGCGGCCCCTTCTTCGGCGGCGGTGCCTTCCTCGCCGTCGGGGGCGACTTCGGTCGGAGCGGTAGATGCTGCATGCCCGTCGCTGTCCTCGGCGGTGAAGGTGAGCTCGAATCCGACCTCCGATTGCGCCTCGGAGGCGGTCTTGGACTCGACGTCGGCGTCTGCGAATTCTGCCCCCACTTCTGGGTCTCGGGATGCGCCAACCCGACGGCTGATCGAGGGTCCGCCGGCACGCGCGACTCTTGCCCCCGACGCAGCTGCAATCCGCCCTGCGTCTCCCAGGCTCGCCGCGGCGCTCGCGTCTGATGTTGCGGGGGCGCTTGTAACCCTCTCCCTTCTTTGCCGAAGGCTTGATGAGCGGTGGCCGCCCAGTTGGCAGTCGCCCATGGCACTGGCGACACTTGCCCCCCGCGCAGCTGCAGCCCGCTGTCGCCGCGCCTGGCACCGCGCAGCAGCCGCGTCTCACGCGGGTCAGCCCAGGTGGAATGCGTGAGCCCTGCGACGGCGGTGGCGAGCCAGACGAACTTGCACCGCGCCATGGTCGCATCCGAGTATGGAGGGAAACGCTGCTGAAAGTCTCGGCTCGTAGCCGGCTGATCTGGGAACTGCGGAAGCCGAGACTGAGAATCGCTGTCTTGTGCCCAAGAAACTGCAGAATTGCTAAATGCCGCGTTGGAAATCACTCTCTCAGTTCAGCATCTGGCCCACATTCTACCAGCAAGTGCCCACATCTCGATCTTTCAAGCAAGTGAGCCTTCTCGTTCAGAAACCGAATCGCGCCGAAGTCGAAATCTATACTGATCCCGAAATGCTCGAGGATATCCACGCCCGAGAGAAGCGGGGACTCTTCGTCTGCAACCGAAGCTGGGAAATCACACTCACTTCCATCTGCGCATCCAGGGAGAAGGACATGGCTCAGCGATTTCAAACTCGATCGGGGGCCCTTTTACTAGCTTCACCATGTTTACTCCAGAATTCTTGAATATCGTGGTCTGCCATGTCTGAGCCACGACTTAGCCTATATGGGATGAGGTGGCCCCGGAGTCCAAGCTGCCCGTGAAGGCACCAGAGAGCTGCGAAACCAGAAATACACACTGTTCATAAACTACCAGAACACATCGTGCTTCTCGTCGGCTGAATCTCGGCCTCAATAGTTTCGCTCTTCTGGTCGTCGCCCCTCGGGTTTTCGCCGCTGTATTTCGTATTCGGGTCCTCGGTGGTCGCGCATTGGTCGCTGTCGTTCGAATTGGGCCCCTGGTCGATCGCATCTTGGTCGCTGTCAATCGTATTCGGTCTCTGGTCGATATTATCTTGGTCGCTGTAGTTCGTATTCGGCCTCTGGTCAATCGCATCGGACGTGACCACGATGATGGATGCCTGTACCTGCGCCCGTACTGAAACTTGGCAGCTGCCTTGCAATCCTTGGCGATGTGCCCGTATCCGCCGCACCTCAGACACATGGTGTTCGGGTCTGTCATCCCCGAGTCCTGTCCTTCTTGGCATGACTGTGGTTGCTGGCGGAACTCGGTGGGCCACGCGTCGAAGCCTGAGACCCGGACCCCTTGCCTGGCGCTACGAACTTCTTCGGGCCGAAAGAAGTGCGATTCGCCTCCTTCTGGCGGATCAGCTCTCGAGCCTGCTTGAATGACCGTTGCCCTGGGCTGCCGCGAAAACTGCGCTCTCGAACAACTCCATCTTCAGCTACTCGTCGTCTCGCGCTTGGCCAACGATCTCCTGGAGCGTCGCGCCGATGTCGTCATCTTCGGCAGCCGCCAGCACACTCTGTGAGGCAGCATCTTGGAGTAGCTCTGTGAGTCCACGATCATATTGATCTTCGTCCTCCTGATTGTTATCGTCGTCGCCCTCGGCCGCGTAGTTCTTCTGGTGGTGCTGCCAGCGGTTGTGGTACTGCTTGTGGCCGCTGTCGCGCTCACGCTTCTGGTCGAACTGCATGCCGAAGGCCTGCTGGATCTGCTGGTGCCCGTAGTTGTGCTGCACCGACGCCAACACCTGCGAGCGCTCGTGGCCCTCGAGGCCTGCATTCTCGAATAGAAACCATGCCCGAAGTGGCTCAGGAAATATAAGTGTCTTCACGTCGAAGCCTGTGTCGATCTGCTTGATCGTTTTTTGCATGATGTCCTCTTCGACCCCGAATTGCGTAAGATAGTGCCGCATCGGTGTCCTCGACTATCGGTGCACCCCCTTCATGCAGGATCTCATATACTTGCCAGCGTCCTCCGCCTCCAGGATGCCACTCTTATCCTTGAGGTATATGAGCAACTGGCTGACTCCCTTGGGCAATTTCGTCGTCGCATCCTCCTCGACATCGTCGACGGAGTCCATCTGGTCGTACTTCTGTACACTGTGCCATGCGCGGCCATGGAGCTTCGACATCAGCCTCGGGCCACAAAGACCCTTCTCGTCCTTCTTGGTGCCGCGCACGTAAAGCTGGATCCGCATCACATACGAGTCGAAACTGGCAACGTCGCCGTCCCAGGATGGGATTGCATTCGACTTCTCATTCTCTGTCGTCATGACGCGCCGGTCCGTGGAGCCAGACCGGCTCCGCTACCAACTAGATTGTCGGCGTTGGCGAGCACCCTCGATATCTCGAGGTCGTCCTCGTCGTGAATAACAATACTGATTATCTCGATAATCTCCCCTTTTCCTCCACAGCTCGCCAGCGTCGATGATCTGAAAAGATATATTGCGGCAGCCCCTGGCGGGCTGTGAAATACAATGGTGTGCTCAAGCACAACGTTGCCAAAATCGGCAGCTCCGGTAGCACTTGCCCGACCCAAGGGCGCCCTCGAGCCACAACACCAGCGGAGGGAAGTTAGGCATCAAGAAGGCACAGGTCGGATGGGTTAGAAAAGTGCATATAACTACATCCCCCCCTCCACTGCCAGAGCGCACACATGTCCGTGTCCACCGCCTCGGGGTCGTGCACCGAGGCTGGGGCCGAACCGTGGGCACTCGGCGGTAGGGCCGAACAGAGGACGTTGGCGGCGGCAAAGGGCAAGTGCCGAGGACACGGCCGAGCCAATGGAAAAGCTGGCGGTGGCGGAGGGTAAGGGCGGCAGGCACCAGGGTCGGCGGCTCTCGGGGGCGGGGCCAGACCAGGGGAACTGAAGACGGTGCAGGGCAGAAGCACCAGCGCAGGGGACGACAGTCGGAGATAGGGCCAGACAAAGGCCGTGGGCGGCGGCGGGCCCTGAGACCCAGGCGACGAAATTTGTTCACTTCTGGCGTGTTCGCTCGGTTCTGGGCCCCGAGGCCCACACAGATCGATCCAGCTCGAGAAATGCCGCAGGGATTGAGTCTAGGGTCTAGGGCTCAGGTCGCGGTTTTCGCGAGGGTGCATTTTTCCTCAACGTCGGAACTCAAGCGAAGGGGAGCCTTAGAATGGGAGCAATGGCCCTTTCAGTGCAAGCGCTGCATGGGGAGCTGAGCCGACATTCCCACGACAGAACACCACCACGCTCCTTCCATAATCGGGCAAAGGGTTGCCACAAAAGCTGCGCTGGGCGTCGTGGCAAATCATCTTCTGGGATCCCGGACAAGCATTCCGTAGGCTTCCGAGTGGACAGGGCCCTCTGGGAGACCTGACTTACCAATTACGTAGACGCCCAACCTGGACTTGTGTTCATTACCGTTCCCCGCTTCACCGTCCTGGGAATGGAAATAATTTGGGTGGGCGGAGGGGAGTGTCATACAAATGTTCACAATGTCAACTTCCCGCACTCTGAAACGTTGGGGGACCCTGGCGGGATGAGCAATGGTGATCAGAGCAACTCTTAACGGCAGAGCCGACGAAAAACCGGACCGAATTGCGATGCCTCGGCGAAACCGCTGAACACCTGTGCAACACTGCTCCCAGATGCGTCGTCCATCTTTTGATTCAACTCTCAGGCCGTACTGTTGGCAATTGCAAGCAAGCCAGGGTGTTCGAGTCACCGCCTTGAAGCCACGATCACGCTGCAGATGGCGAGGCGGCGTGAGGACCCGCAAGGTTTCAGAGAGCGGGCGCGATGGGTGAAACACATCAGTGCACTTGCACGTCCTGATTGTGCACCTCGGCCCCTAGGGACCGCTGGCGCAAATTGACTGCTTCTGCAAAGCCTGCTGGGCGCGCGCCTGTGTAGCTCCCTCGAAACTGCCCCCAAGCGCGAGCGTGTTCGCCGGCTGCATCACTGTTCCTGACGCGCGCTGGCGAACACTCCTCCAAACCAACCTTGACATCTTCCCTCTGCCTGTGTGCAATATCGCGCACGAGCTTCTTTCCAAACCGTCGACGTTCGACACCACACGTGCGGCCTTCCGTATGTGCGGGAGGCAAGGGGCAAACAAACGCGCGGGAACAACGGTGGAATTCTCGGCAAGGCCAACTCACACGATGCATGGTGCAATTATATGACATGTCACACAAACCTCCCTACATTGTGTGCGCAACGCCCCAACATAGTAGAACAAGGGCCATGCGACTCCCAGTGGCGAGGACTGGAGATGGACAAGTGCTGTCCACGAAAAACTCTCTTATACATGAGGCCTAGCTATGACGTGCGTTTGAATTTGGATGAAGCTGGCGTGGGACCGCAGAGTGCGAATCGGGAAGGCTGGTCCTGCTCTGCAGCATGGATATGAAGTTCTGTACTCGCGCTTCGAAACAGATGTCGGGTAAAAGGCGAAAGCGCGGACTCTCTAGGTGCTTCAGTGGGCAGACGCCGAGTACTGCGCGATGCTTCACCTATTGTATAACAAACCAGTTTGGGATTTTGATGTCGACTTCCCGATTGCTGTCAATTTGGTGTTCGTTACAACGCTACGCTACACATTGAGACTGTATGTGGGCGGTCCACGGAGCAAACCTGCCTACCTAGGAGGGAGCGCGCCCGCGGCACACTCCCAGAAGGAGGGGGGTCCCCTCTTGGCTACACCCCCCCTTGGACTGGCCTTGCCAGAAGCCTCTTCCCCCCTTTTTTCCTCGCCAATCGACGCCCCCCCCATGCGCGCTCCGGAAGCTATCCCCCCCTCCCTTTCCAAAGTCGGCCATAGTAGGGTGCGATCAATTTCTGTTCGCAATGAGTTCTCCTTTTCATCCCACCCACCCACACGCAACTTGGTCTCCCAAACCCATGCAGCGGCGATTGCGATGAATGGTTGGAGTTTGCTGGTGCATCTCTACGGCCACGCTAGCCCGCGCATGCTCGCGCGCGCAACGGCCAGATAGTTTGGCGTTGCCGACGCGGCCGCGGTGGCGCTGACCGCTGGGCACTTCCCAACGTACACTTCAGTGCGAGTCGGCGACTTGGGCGGGCACGTTATCATGGCAACGTCGACAACGGTAGACGCGATGATGATGGTAGCGATGCTGGTGACGATGATGACAACGACGACGGCAAGGCCAGTGACGGCACCGATGCTGATCACGCCGACTACGATGACGGCGCCCCCGAGTCGGTGATGAAGGTTTTGGAAGGGTTTGACATGCGCGCGCGGCCGACGCGCGAGAGTGGCCCGCACGGTATTGTTTTAAACGGACCGTACCCCGCAAAGCACGCGCGCAAGGGCGTTCGAATGATTCCGACGTGCGGCACGAGGGGCCCGCTTGTCGGAGTTAAATGGACATGTTAGAAAGAACGAATGTTTCCCAAAGAATTCGCAGGAGCGCAAGCGCAGGCATTTTTGAACACTTCTGTTGCAAACCATGTGTTCTGAGACGTTGTCGGGACACACGATGTTGACACCCTTACGAAACCTACGGTTTTTGACGGATTCCGGCATGCGCGCGCGACGCCGCGCGCGTGTACACTACTTCCCATATTTCGCAAGGGATTCTTGCGACAGCACGCGCACAAAGGCGTTCGAGCGATTCCGACACGCGCGCGCGAGAGGCCCGTTTGGTAGCAAGTGATGAACGTTTGAAAAAAAAGAGAGAACACGTATATATATATATATAACAGAGCAATTTGCCGCCGTGGCGGCAGCGGCACAACGACGTGGGCGAGTGGACCGATGACGGCCAGGGCGACTATAACACGGGCTACGAGGGCGACCAGAAGGCCCATGGCTAGGAGGACAGGTGCGGCAAGAGCAAGTGGGTCGACGCCGACAACAAAAGCGACAAGGGCAGTAACAAGTGGCAGCGCAGCGATGGCGACGCGCGGCACACGTAATACACATACGACTCGAGACACTGAAGAAAGGCAATCTCTCTCTATCTCTCTCTATAGATATGGCTCCGAACCCCTGGAAGGGAACAATACATGGGGGCATACGTAAAAGACATGCGATTCGAGCCACAGGAGAGGGACAATCTATAGGAACGAACGTAAACAACACACACACACGACTCGAAGGGGTAATATTCAGGAACACACTAAAGCACATCGGATTTGAGCCTCAGGAAAAGGGTTATGTATAGGAGCGTTCGTAAACACACATAGGATTCAAGCCCCAGGTTGGCAAGCTATCATGATATTTGAGCCCCAGGAGCAAAAAGGAAATTGACAGGAGCATACGTAAGAAAGTCGTAGGGTTCGAGCTACAGGAAAATGGGCAGTATATAGGAACACGCGTAAAACACATACGATTCGAGCCCCCCTCCCCCTGAACCTCCCCTGCCCGAAGCCCCCCCCTCCTTCTCCTTTTTCCGCCCCTCGGAACCTACCCCCCCTCCTTTCGCGCTCTGGACTCCTTGGACCTTCCCTGCCGGACCTCCCTCCCTTTTTTTCCCAGCCATCCTGTGGTGTTGGGTCCTCGCTACTCGTTCTCAAGAGACAGCGCCCCGCGTTCTCCTCCTTCCTTCCTCCTCCCCATCCTCCCTCCTCCCTCCTCCCTCCCCCTCCTCCTCTCTGGGGCCACGAAACGCTGTACTGGGCGTCTCCCCCGCCCAGTACAGCGTTCCGTGACCCCAGAGGGAGCTCCAACGACAGTCCCAGTGGCGCAGTCTGCATGCGGTTCCCCCACCCAGTACAACGTTTCGCGGCCCCAGACAGAGCTCCACCGAAGGTCCCAGTGGCGCAGTACGCATGCGGTCCCCCCACCCAGGACAACGTTTCGATGCCCCATCGGGAGCTCCACCGAAAGTTCCAGTGGCGCAGTCCGCATGCGCTTCCCCCACCCAGTACAGCGTTTCGTGGCCCCAGAGGAAGCTCCACCGAAGATCCCAGGGGCGCAGTACGCATGCGGTCCCCCCACCCAGTACAACGTTTCGAGGCCCCATCGGGAGCTCCACCGAAAGTTCCAGTGGCGCAGTCCGCATGCGGTTCCCCCGCCCAGTGCAGCGTCTCGTGGCCCCATAAGGAGCTCCACCAAAGGTCCCAGTGGCGGAGTCCGCATGCGGTTCCCCCGCCCAGTACAGCGCTTCGTGGCCCCAGACAGAGCTCCACCGAAGGTCCCAGTGGCGCAGTTCGCATGCGCGCCCAATACAACGCTTCGCGGCTCCCTAGGGAGCGCCACCAGAGGTCCCAGTGGCGCAGTCCGCATGCGGTTCCTGCGCCCAGTGCAACGTTTCGTGGCCCCAGAGGGAGCTCCACCGAAGGTCCCAGTATCGCAGTCCGCATCCGGTTCCCCCACACAGTACAGCGTTTCGTGACCCCAGAGGAGGCGCCAACGACGGTCCCAGTGGCGCAGTCCGCATGCGGCTCCCCCGCCCAGTCCAACGCTTCATGGCCCCAGAGGGAGCTCCACCGAAGGTCTCAGTGGCGGAACTCGCATGCGCTTCCCCCGCCCAGTACAGCGTTTCGCGGCCCTGGAGGGAGCTCCACGGAAGACGATGCCCACAACTACAGTACTCACAACTGCATATGGTTGGGATCTTCGCCAGGCGAATTTCTGCTCCTCAGAAGCGAAGTTCCCCCTTCCCCCCCAAAGGCGCCGAAAACCGAAAGAACTGCGAACCCAACGCTGCCCCGAAAACCTAAGAAAGCATGACAAATCAGAGAGAGCGCGGAAATACGAAAGAGCACGGACAACCACAGGAACACGAACAACGAAAGAAACGCCACCGAAAATAACACCAAAAACGAAACGAGCGCCAGAAACCAGAAACCAGAAACCAGAAACAAATCGAAAATCCAGGAAGCGCCGAAGACCAAAGGCGCGCCGGAAACCAAAAGGGCGCCGCCAACCAGCAGGTCGCCACACTCAAAGGATGCGCATAAAAAACAATGGTGCAAACCAAACGAGCGGCAAAAACATAAGGAACGCCGAAAACTAAAAGCACACCGAGAACCCAAGTGGCGCCGAAAACCCAAACAGACCGAAAGCCAAAGAAGCGCCGAAAACAAAAAAAGGCGCCGAAACCCAAAAGAGCGCCGATAACAGAAGGACCAGCAACGCGCCAAAAACCAAAAGAGCTGCGACAACCGCAACGGCGCCACAAATCAAAGAAACGCCGAAAACAAAACATGCTCCGACAACCATCAAGGCGTCAAAAACCAAAAGAGCGCCGCAAACACAAAGAGCGTCGAAAATCACAAGAGTTGCTAAAATCAAAGAAACCCGAAGAAAGCAAAACGGCGCGGAAAACTACGAATGTACAGAACAACCTAAGGAGCGCCGAAAACTAAAAGCACACCGAGAAGCCAAGCGGCGCCGAGAACCCAAAAGACCGCCGAAAACGAAAGAACCAACAAGCCGAAAATCAAAAGAGCTCCGACAACCACAGCTGCGCCGCAAACCAAAGGGACGCCGAAAACACAACATGTTCCGACAACCATCAGGGCGTCGAAAACCGAAGTGTGTCGGCTGCGGCGGCCGCGGGGGGTCCTCCGCCCGCCCTGCTGCGGCGCGGCACGCCGCCGGCGCGGCGCACCGCTGGCGGGCGCTACGGCCGCGGCCAGCCGCGGGCACCTGCCGCGCAGGAGGCGGTCGTCGCCGCCAGCGGCGGCGACGAAGACGACGACAGCGACGACGGCTGAGGCGACGAACGCAGACGATGACAACGACGAGGGCAGCGTCGTCGTGGTCTCCATCTTCGTCCTCGCCGCCTCCGTCGTGTCGCCGTCTTCTTCGTCGCTGTCGGCGTCCTCGTCGCTGTCGCCGTGGACGCCATCATTAATGCCACCGTCGCCGTCGCCGTCGCCGCGATCGATCGCAACCATGGCCGCCGCTGTCAGCGTCAAATACTTATATCGAACAAGTGATTACTGTCGATATCTGGAAGCGGTTCCGGACGCTCTTGCCTC